GTGTAGGGTCGTGTCTCCAGCGGATCCCTGCTAGAATCCACTAGCTAGTTTTACTTGGATTGTTGCTATCTTAATCATGCCTAACATGGGGGTTGTGGGGCAACAGCCTGGCAAGATTTATGTTTGATTTGACTCTTAGTTTTATGTATGACTCTTTAGTTTTATGTATTTATGACTTCCGGCTGGAGGCCAGTCACCAGTGGGGTTCCCCAGGGCTCAGTGCTGGGTCCGGTTCTGTTTAACATCTTTATCAATGACCTGGATGAGGGGATTGAATGTACCCTCAGTAAGTTTGCAGACGACACCAAGCTGGGAGGCTGTGTCGATCTGCTCGAAGGTAGGGAGGCCCTTCAGAGGGATTTGAACAGACTGGATCGTTGGGCTAAGGCCAATGTTATGAGCTTTAATAAGGCCAAGTGCAGAGTCCTTCACTTGGGGTATAAAAACCCCAAGCATCACTATAGGCTTGGGGAAGAGTGGCTGGAGAGTTGCCTGGTGGAGAAGGACCTGGGGGTGTTGGTTGACTACCGGCTTGATATGACACAACAGTGTGCCCAGGTGGCCAAAAAGGCCAATGGGATACTGGCGTGTATCAAGAATAGTGTGACCAGCAGGAACAGGGAAGCGATCCGGCCCTTGTACTCGGCACTGGTGAGGCCGCACCTGGAATGTTGTGTCCAGTTTTGGGCCCCTCGATTTAAGAGAGATGTTGAGCTCCTGGAGCGGGTCCAGAGAAGGGCGACTAAACTGGTCAAGGGGCTGGAAAATAAAACTTATGGGGAGCCGCTGAGGGAATTGGGGCTGTTTAGCCTGGAGAAGAGGAGGCTGAGGGGAGACCTGGTTACGGCCTATAAATACTTGAGAAAAGATGGTGGGGAGGTAGGGGAGGGGCTCTTTACATTAGTGATGGGTGATAGAACAAGAGGAAATGGGTATAAGCTTAGTCAGAGGAGATTCAGGTTGGATGTTAGGAAGTATTTCTGCTCTGAAAGGGTTGTCAGCCACTGGAATAGGCTGCCCAGGGAGGTGGTTGAGTCCCCATCCCTGGATGTGTTTAAGAAAAGGATGGATGTACTACTTAAGGATATGGTTTAATGGGGGATTAGGGACAGTTGGACTGGATGATCTCTAAGGTCTTTTCCAACCTAGAAATCTATGAAATCTATGAAATCTATGTAGGTATACACATAATTTTTTCAGTCAAGACAAGCGAACGAAAAGCCAACAATCTTTTAGTTCTGCCAAAATTCACTTTGGAGTAGGATACAACTGGTTTCGTAGCATCCTGTCTACCAGGATTCTTTCAGAACCTCCAAACAGACCATCCTGTCTGTTGTTCCTCTCTTTGCTTTTCTCGTTCGCACTTTATACCAGTGCTTAAAGATGAGCAGGCTCAGAGCAGATAGTTTGATGTCTGTGCAGTAGGAAGCATGATGTTGAGAAGGAAAAGCCCTGTGCCCCACCTTCCAGCTTGCCTTGTCTCTCATAAAGCAGAATAGACTAAGGGGAAAACGAACACAGGAGTGGATTTGGCACCCTGACCCACGTTTACCTTTGTGATTCACGCTTCAGGCAGATGCTAACAAAGCTGGGTACACCTATGACCTGAGGCATTCCTTTGTCTCTATTATGTATCCGATTCATTGTGTCCCACTCTTCCTTGCCTTACAAGACATTACAGGAGAAGCAGTCATTCCAGTTCTGCTGTGGTAGCACTTTGCATTCTCTCAATGCTTGTGTAATTGGCAACTGTTTTGATTTTACTGTGCAGTTTTCATCCTTCGTGTCAGAAAGAAAATACTTTTCTTTTCAGAACATTGTTGAGTTCTTTTCATGTCAGGCAGACTCATTCAGCTGTGAAGAATAAACACACCAATTCAGTAAATTTTGTTGGTTTTTTAAACAAGTTGCTTTTTTGCCTGGAAACAGGCAAAAAGCTCCAGCCATATGTCTGCATGGTATACCTAGTTCAACAACTGTCCTGTAGCAGGACTTTTAAATGAAGAATTGTTCTGTCTATCTCCAACAGTCTGGTTTATATGAGGAATAATCCCTGATGCCAGCATTTTTCAGTTAGATACTTTGAAATTGACCCCTGGCAATTTGTGACTCATTGTTTACATACCAAGAACAATTCTATACAGTCAGGATTTGAAAAGCTGATATGAAGTATTCTGGAATAAGGGATTTGTTTTTGCTGTACAGTACCAAGCCACATGGAGCATAAATCAACTGACATTTCTAGTCACTATATCATATAAATAGTTAATTACAGTAACAAATGTAATTTGAACTCATTTTAACTTTTCTGACTACTGCAGGCACTTCTTATTCCTAGTCTAATGTAATTCTCTTCATCAAAGATGAGGCTCTAATCATATTTTATGTTCAGAGTGTTTCCCCTCTGGACAGTTTTCCTGTCTTACAGGTGGGAAGTTTGGCATATAGAGGATTTTCCAAGCAAGTATTTAATGCAGAAGTCTTCCCTCATAGTGTCTATCCAGTAGTAACAGCACATGAGTTATGATGTCTGTTCTTTTACTACTTGTAAACTAGATAGTTTTTGTGGAAGTATTGACTGACGGTTGATAAGATTTGTCTCTGACTTTCTGATGTTTCACAATATTGTACACTAAATTATATAGAAAGCATAAATGTTAATTTAAATATTAAATATTTTTACCTGTGCATCAAAGATATGGTTGATTCTTCTTGACAGTTAGTGAAACAAATTTAAAGCAGATGCTTATTACAAATGCCATCCTAGAGATATCTTTCTGTGTTTCTTTTTTGTAGATGTCGATGAATGTGCTGTTGGATCAGACTGCGATGAGCATGCATCTTGTCTCAACACAAATGGATCGTATGTTTGCACTTGCATCTCTCCTTACACAGGAGATGGTAAAAAATGTGCAGGTATGGGAAGGAAAAACATCAGGCTAGCCTTTCCAAAGTTCTGTATAAGCCAGTATCCTGCCTCCCACTGTGGAAGACAGTTGCCAGTAATCGATATCTAGGGAGGGACAGGGCAGGCATGCTCTCATCTCCAGGTCCCTTTGAGCTGAATGAGGCTGTGATGAAGTGTCTCTTTATGTTTCTTGAGAACTCGCCTCTCCCTATAAAGACAGCTGTCATTAGGATTCTGCTCCAAGACATACAGACATGCAAAATCCGCTTGCACATGGAGCACATGTGCTGAAGGCCTGGGATGGTCACATGCCACAATGTGTCACTTCTCAGAGCAGAGCTGGGCAGTGAAGAAGTATTTGAATACAGGCATCTGAGTAGGGCTTGAGCTGTCTGTGGAAACATTAAGCAAGGTAACTTTGCATGAAGATGTCAAGATAGTGGCATAGGTTGGGATAAAAGGTAGCTGAGCTGGTTTCATGTTTAGGGCTGGACGTGCTGCAATGGGCTTTCCCTCACAGAAGGAAAAATGACTGCAAGATGTGTTTGCTTCTGACAATGAATGCAAACTCAGTTACAGAGGGCTCTTCCATATCCAGATTAGTTTACTTGTACAATTCTTCAGTGCCTCTCACTTACATACAGAACAGAGAAAAGCTGGTAAGGCTGTAAACTACTTATTAGTGTTTTCCATATACTCTGCCTTCCTACTTTCAGAAAATTCCCAAGGATAGATATCTCCTGCAACTTTATAAAACCTAGTATTTAATTCTGTTGCTGATAGTTTCGCTCTTCCTCCTCAGAACCAGTGAAGTGCCATAATCCAGGAAATCCAGATCATGGCCATTTATACGGGGACACTTACAGTGTTGGCAGTGAGGTAACGTTTTCCTGTGAAGAAGGGTTTCAGCTGACAGGAGTGACTAAACTTACATGCATGGAGTCTGGAGAGTGGAGCCACTCAATACCATATTGTGAAGGTATGGTTTCTGGGGAGAATGCCTTCTGTAATGTGTGTTATTAGAGAGATGGAACGGGGAAAGTAGTAGTGTAGAGCCTTTAGAAACCACAGCAGCTGATGAAATCCTGTCCTAGCAGACCTGGGTCTCAGTGTTGAAGTCTGTTGTCTTAAGAGATGTAAGCACCAGTTCAAGCTTTTCCAACAGTTGTCTTATTCATAGTGGTACTTTCGTATGCAGATTCTCCAAAGTGTCAAAGGCTTAGACTCATCCATTTTAATGAAAGCATTAGAAGTGTCTCTTTTCTCCACCCAGCCTCCTGTTTTCGAGGAACTCGTGGGAACTTAGTGTCTTAAAGATCATTAACTGTGTTTCAGAGGATAAAAAGCGACCAGAGAGGACAGGCTGGTGCATGTACATATATGTGGTGTAATTGCAGAAATTGTTTCTGTAGAAAACAAGAACTAATGCGGTGAAGCAACAGGGTAAAATGAAGGGGTGACAAAAACAATGTCAAAAAAACCGGTTACTTTGTCCATAGGGAAGGAAGGGTATGGAATCCTCTTGACAGTCAAGTGTGTTGTTGTTAGAACAGTTCCAACTACCTATTTCCAGTTAGTCCAATTTCTCAGTAAGGCGAAGTCAGATAAATAGCCCTAAATGTCAGTCACAGCTTAGTCAAGAACCCAGTGTTACCTAGGGCTTTACACCTCTTCAAATCTATTTAGAGAAAATAAAGCAAATCTTGAATTTCTGTTCTTTTTCATTTGTGTTGTACCCATCTTTCTTGTGATTCTGTCTTTTTAAAGCTGTATCCTGTGGTGGTCCAGTTATTCCAGAGAACAGTGCCATTTTGGGCTCAAATTTTACATACCACAATAAGGTGGTGTACAGGTAGGAATTCAGTATGTTTGAAGTGCCATATTAATAAGTGATTGAGAATCTGTCAACAAATCAGAGTATGGCTGAATTGAGAGAGTGGTTGAAATGAAGGAGAAGAGCAAAATGGGATTAAAGTAAGGGAAAGATGTTTGGTTGTAGCTGTGGCTACTCTGGCAGAGCTGAACGTGTACTCCAATACTATGTCTCTATGCCCTGCATAGAAGGATGCTGTATGCAGGTGTGGATGAAGAGAGAAAAAAGTTGGCTGATTAAGTTGTACGTAAAAGGTTCTGTGTTTGATGGCACTTCTTTTCTTCAAACTCAGATGCAATGATGGATACAAGTTAGTGGGTGAAAAGGAAATTCTGTGCCTTGCTAGTGGCGTTTGGAATCATCCTCCCCCCTCCTGTGAGATGGTGACTTGTCCTAGCCCACAGGATATCAGCAATGGAAAATACACACTCACTGGCACAACCTACCTTTCCTCTGTATCATACACCTGTGACAATGGATACAGGTAAATGCAGGAACGTTCCTGAGCCAGATGCAGGCAGCATGCTTGCTAGAAGGGCTAACTTATGTCTGAAAGAGACAAAGCTGATATTATTGCTCAGAAAGATAAAATACTGAGACAGAATTTGGAAAGACTTCTTTATATCTTTAAGGTACTTTCTGTATTTCATCCAAAATTGGAGCAGTTCAAGAAGGTCATTCATGATTTGTTTTTTATACATATATATATATATATGTATATATATATATATGTGATGCTTTTGTTTTACCACCAAGCTCAAAGACATGTTTTGAATATTCAGAAAAATAATTGTCATTATTTTTGAAAGTTCTCATTTGTCTTTAAAGATTATCATACTCCTACAGCTTTAGCGCATACGCAATATTATTTTTGCTATTGTTTTTACAATGCTTTTGGTGAAAGAACCTTCTGGAAGTTACTAATTTACTCCTTGAACTCTTTGTAGTAGTTATTTTTTCTAGGCTTTTATTCTGTTTTACGTTCGTAAGCAGTTATCTTGGAAACACATTTATAATATGCTGTGATTAAAAATTAATACAGTAATGCTGTATCTAAGGATGTGGCTTTAACTGCAAGTTTCTGCCTCTCCTGATATCTGCTTGTACCTCTAGCAGATTTACTCTGACATAAGCAGTCTCACATGGACCTGTTCAGGTCTGAGTTTTTTCTGTATTTTCCTGCTGCAAGCATACCCTTGTCCAGATGCAGGAAGGTAGATGAGGTGTGCTCATTTGGTGAATGTTTTAAGTGTATTAATACAAATGGATACCTCAGCTGCAGCCCAGTGTAGTGTTAAGTTGTAGATCCACAGTGAGGGCTTATCTGTACCCCACTAAACCAAGCAGTTTTTTTACCAACATCAGCAAGTTTTTCGCCCATGGACTTAGGACATATAGGC